CCAACACTTATCAACTGCAAGGCTGTCACGACCCGTGAAAACGGCGGACAAGATGTTCTGGAAGTCTATTTGGTGCATTCAAACAATCTATTGTTTCTGAATGCTGGGGTTGGAAAAGTGAAGACATTTGGCTTTCAGTCATCACCAAGATTATGAATCTTTGTTGTGGAATGGTGTTTACATGCATGAATTATGCAGTCCTGGGATCATCAATGAAGTACAATGTGTTAACAATTCATGCATACATTCTTTCACAAACATTGCACCATTATCTGAAGCAAAAAGCACAAACTGTTACAATGGAAGTATTAGCTTCAAGCTTTATTTTTCTCCAGGTAATACCTGTGGTGTCTAGATGCAAACCTGGTTTTTTTAATGCGAAGACAATACTTCCACTTGTCCAACTTGTAAATTTTCTGCACACTTATTCTTTTGGGATGTTCCATTATATGAACATGCGGCACTAATGTCTCGCAGTAACAACGTGTAGGGATTCAGATTGCCTTCCATGAAGATGAATGTAGTTTGTATGTAAACTTATTCATACCTGTAAAAATGTGTGTGCCCGTATATTCAGGAATAAATATTATTATTATTATGCTGCTCCTTTAATGCTAAATACCGTTCTGTAAACTTTCACGAATTATCAACAGGTATTCCTTATGTTAAATCCATCATTTGACGACAATATTTATTAGTACCTGAATTTAACACTCTGTATATGCTGGGAAGTGATATCTTCCCGTTCATTTCATAGTTAGCAGGATCTTCTGATATTTTCAATCGAATTCGATGACGTCCTTTCTGTACTATTGAGAACCCGTAAAATCTTGTAGATTTTTTGACATATATCAATTTGATAATGCCTGTAGACTGGCTTCTCTCATGTTAAATTACTCATGTGAGATTAAGACATTCATTTGCTTATTTATTTGCCACTGTATGCACCCTTGAGAACAAGAGTCTCTTACAGATGGACGTTTGTGTTCCAAAAACTAAGTACACGGAATCACAATCCTAGTACTAACGAACAGCGTATTTCATGGGATTGCGTCCCACGAGGCAAGAAGCACCGACACACTAAACACAGCGGGTTCGAACCCAAATCGGGCATAAGTAAAGGTACATTTTGATGTAGCACATAAGGAACATAAGTACGCGTTGGTATTTGCTAGCAGTATCACTGACCGGAATGGTGTGGGTGCTGCAGTCGCTGAAGACACATGGGGGTGATAGAACTATCTCAAATTCATTATGTAACCACTGTGGACCCATGCTACCCGAAAAGATTACGGAAACAAAACGCTCGCTCTCCGTGTCAAAGATTCTCTTGTGGAATTTAGCAACTATAGCAGTGACGTCAGCCGCGTATTCGTCTCAAATTCGATCTCAATTTAACCCCATACTACGCATTTTATGGACCCAGCAGTCACACCGCCTGCAAAGGAGATTGCTGATCTATTCGGGAACATCAAAAGCCTGTGGCCAAGTTCACAGTTGGCCACACTGAAGAATACGACTGACTACAAACTTCAGCAAGTACGAAACATGACATACTTATGGGGGTGTGCTTCTTCAAATGCGGCGAAAAATTTACTTCGGTGGCGAAACGTTGTGAATGCCCTGTGCCGATGAACTTTGCGTATGTATGATTCTCGATGTACCTTACAAAGCAGAAGGAGTGTTCCCCATCTGTCCACTGTTTGGCGGGCCAATGGGGAACACTCTGCAAAACCTAACAGTGTAACGCAACTGCGCAAGGACTCCATCTTACTGATTCCGTGTTATCTCCATCTTTCTGGATACCAAAGTGACAAGTAACTTCCTTGTTATTAACATTTTAGTGCACCAGACACGCACAGCCACGGATGTATACTCGCAGTTACACAACATGTTCTGGGAAACGTGCCGCCGATTCAGAACACAGACCCAAATTTGTAGCAGCCAAATTTAGATGACTGGAACTCAGCAGGCACGTCTGAGAAGTATTCCCGAAAATTGTTTTGACTGGGACAAGGTTGACACCAGCACCTAAACCATCTCTTCACCAATAAATCCGTGTAAAAATGTGATGACACTTCTCGGCACAAATGAAGCTAATAATTGGACCAAAAATTCTCTGAGTTCAATTATTTTATGACCTCGCCAGGTGAGCCAGTTCACTAGTTACTATTTTCTCCCATGCCCTCACAGAAAGGAAAGCTTGGGAGCGGGGCTAGCAGCCCTAAACCGTAAAACCAAGCTAATCGCCGAACAAACTCCAAAGCACAAACAAAATATAAAAATTAAAAGCAAACTCATTCCCCTCTGGAATCGAGGAGACGAAATGACACCAGCTGGTGAAAGCCTTCGAGAAGCCGATTGGCTGATGTGCTCTCGCTTCTCTCGATGAAAGCGAAAGCAAACATGGGGATATGGAATGTCCGCACTATATTTGAAGCTGACTGGCAGGGCTGTCAAGATTACAAAAGAGATGAGAAGGCGTAGCATAGAAGTGCTAGGAATCTGCAAAAGCAGGTGAAATAAAAGTGAACTCTCAAAACTGTCAACTGGAGAGTTAATAATCTACTCCGGTATTTTCACCCAGACGACAACCACAGATACATTGAGTTATGGAGTGGCTATCATGATGTCTCCAACAGCATCGAATGCTCTCTCCTTCTTGAAGTGGGAACCTATCTCCCCCTGTAGGATCACGACAACCAGAGTCAACTCAAAAGGGAAGAAAGTCACAATCATACAGTGCAATGCTACGCACCTACAAACAATGTAGATCAAGAGAAGAAGGAGGAATTCTACAGACAACTCCAATCAACACTGGACAACACCACACCCCAGATGGCGACATCGAAATTAATTCTACTGGGTGATATGAATGCTAAACTGGGGGCAGACAACACAGTAAGAGAAGCAACCATGGGTCGAGAAGCACTCGATGAAATGATGAATGAGAATGGAGAACTGTTTGCAGACTTCTGCGCATTCAGCGATTTCGTGATTGCAGACCAGGCAGTCTGTACAAACACAAGGATATTCACAGGGCAGCGACATGGATTTGATTTCACCAGACACCAGAACACACTACACTAAAAATCAGATCGATTTCATCTCAATGTGAAGAAAGTGGAGACGCAGCCAGCCTACTCGACACAAGATCAGATCTAGAAGGGGAACAAATGTAGGTTCACACCACTCACTTCACTATCTAGTGCAAGGAACCTACCTTCAAAATCAAGTGGAAAGCCTCCACAGAAGTTGGTGATGGTCGATCACAGTCCAAGTTGAACACCCACAACAGAAACTGAAGGACAAAACTTCAAAGGACATCTTCACGTCAGTTAGCCATCGGGACAAAATGGGAAACATTGAGCAACATCCCAGAAGCAATGTAATAGTAGTACAGGTATATGATTACAGCTCAGGATGGTAGGAATTTTGATAAAAATGAGAGAACAAAAAAGTGGTGTGCGAAAGACATGAATTGTCGCCAGATAAGTAGAAAAGGATATGCTAAAAACCATGATTAAAATATACAATAGACTAAAGTAAATCGAAAATCATAGGAACATGAATAATGTTTGAGAATAATATGTAACAAAATATGATTAAAGATGCAACTAGTGTTGATTTTACTATTGAAATGTATGGGATGACTTACACTGGACATTGATAGATTACTGTAAACAATTTTATATTGAGTGCATATTTGTAAGATGTAGAGCATACGAAATAAATTGGATTCATCCTACAATGTTTGCAGTTCTTGCTTTGCAAGAATTTATAAAGGGAACTAATTGTATGATATAGTATTTAATTGATACTTCATTTCACAAGTTACTCTAATATGCCATAGTCATAAATATATGAAAAAGTGTTACCTTAGCGACGTTGTAAAAACAATGATAGCTTTCCATTTTGTTATCATATAGCTCAGTTCAGCTACTACGTCTGCAAAATGCTGTATACGCTGTTCAAATGAGTTTCAAAAATATAGCATGGAATGGGGATAATGTTAGGACAAAATTAACATTTGCTGCTATCGTCGGTATTGAAGACAGAAAGTGAAATGTGCTGTTACAAATTTCCAGAAGTATCTCTTTGAAACATCATAAAATATAATGCTTTTCTGCCAAGTTATATAATGTAAAGTGTGTAGTAGTTGCCGTTACTTTTTCATGTAACGTCTGCTTTCAGAAAACCTATCAAATTCAGTCAGTTGAATACATCTAGAGAAAAGCATCTAGATATACTACAGTCATTTCTAAATTTTATAAAATTTCCTCAAGAACTTTTAAATGAATGGGTGTTTGGAGCACAGCAGAGAAACTATGCAATTTAGGGAACTACTCACAGTGAAGAACAGATGGTCTTTAAGAGTTATGCTGCATCGTACTGTAACAAAGCGGTCAATTCAATCGATGGAGTGGAACTTAACCCATATCGGATTCCAAAAAGCTCACAATAACTCTATCGATGTGTCCTTCATGTTTAGTTGCAACCTCTAACCTCAAGTTATCCGCTAAACGATCTTCATCCTCATTTTGAACACAAACGAAAACCGTATGATTACTGATATTCACGAAATCCAAATGTTTCCAGTGGTTCCAGTTTTTGTCAGTCAATTATGTTTTTTAAGTGATATGTGTAACAGTTTCTTACATTGTTGGGTATTTTAAACTTATTTATTTACTTATATTTATGATTTTGTTTCATTTTGCATGCGTGCGTGATGACATGTCATAAATATACTGACCCAAAATGAGACTCTGTATCACAAATTTAAAATATTTATTATCTACTAGTTTCTTTCTACTCAGGTTCTTTAAATCATCAAGTGCTTGGTTACCAAACAACGAATCCCATTAATGCAAATGGTTTAAATTATTCACATTACTGTCGAAGTTATAATGCTGAAAATTTGCTTAACTCGGATATTTTTCGTTGAGAAGTAACAAGTTAGCATATCCAAACGCTGCACCATTACAAGTGTCTGAGCTTACTTGTCATTATATGTTTTGGATAATATGAGCACAGAAATAACATTGTCATCTACGAAAAAGCCAAAATATTCACCAGTTGGTAAAAAATATTCCCTAATTTATATTTTCTTTTCAGTAGCTAGAAGCACGGGTAGTCTAAATAAACAAAATAGTTTCTATTATCAACATCTAGGCCATATTTGTTACGAATGTCCCGAAAGAAGTTGAGCACCCACTCAGGTTCATTCATTATATAATAAAGTTTTATGATAATCTGAATATTCTGCTGGAAAAGCTGTGGCATGAACACAGAAAAGTTCAGAAAAATCTTTTTTCGATTTCCTAAACAAGCTGAGATTATATCAAAACCGAATATTACAAAATAGTTTCTAGATATTATTAAACATCTGGAGGATATTTTCCATCGACAGACTGATATTAGAACTACAGTAATCTGTTTTTAAATATTGACAGTATGCAGGAAATATAAGATTCAAATATGTGCACTGTGGTAGAATGTAATGACACTTCTATTGGTTCATTAGATTTATCACACAGTGTGACCTCGCCTAGTTTACTAGTTCACTAATTGCTAGCGGGTCCGAAGCCCGAGTAAAGAGGGAAGGTTTGGGCAGACAGCTAGCAACCCTACCTCAGAAAACCAATCCAGTCGCTAAACAAACTTCAAAGCACAAACAAAATATAAAAATAAAAGCAAACTCATTCCCCTCTGAATCGAGGAGACGAAATGACACCAGCTGGTGAAAGCCTTCGAGAAGCCGATTGGCTGATGTGCTCTCGCTTCTCTCGATGAAAGCAAAAGTAACATGGGGATATGGAATGTCCGCACTATATTTGAAGCTGACTGGCAGGGCTGTCAAGATTACAAAAGAGATGAGAAGGCGTAGCATAGAAGTGCTAGGAATCTGCAAAAGCAGGTGAAATAAAAGTGAACTCTCAAAACTGTCAACTGGAGAGTTAATAATCTACTCCGGTATTTTCACCCAGACGACAACCACAGTACATTGAGTTATGGAGTGGCTATCATGATGTCCCAACAGCATCGAATGCTCTCTCCTTCTTGAAGTGGGAACCTATCTCCCCCTGTAGGATCACGACAACCAGAGTCAACTCAAAAGGAAGAAGTCACAATCATACATGCAATGCTACGCACCTACAAACAGTGTAGATCAAGAGAAGAAGGAGGAATTCTACAGACAACTCCAATCAACACTGGACAACACCACACCCCAGATGGCGACATCGAAATTAATTCTACTGGGTGATATGAATGCTAAACTGGGGGCAGACAACACAGTAAGAGAAGCAACCATGGGTCGAGAAGCACTCGATGAAATGATGAATGAGAATGGAGAACTGTTTGCAGACTTCTGCGCATTCAGCGATTTCGTGATTGCAGACCAGGCAGTCTGTACAAACACAAGGATATTCACAGGGCAGCGACATGGATTTGATTTCACCAGACACCAGAACACACTACACTAAAAATCAGATCGACTTCATCTCAATGTGAAGAAAGTGGAGACGCAGCCAGCCTACTCGACACAAGATCAGATCTAGAAGGGGAGCAAATGTAGGTTCACACCACTCACTTCACTATCTAGTGCAAGGAACCTACCTTCAAAATCAAGTGGAAAGCCTCCACAGAAGTTGGTGATGGTCGATCACAGTCCAAGTTGAACACCCACAACAGAAACTGAAGGACAAAACTTCAAAGGACATCTTCACGTCAGTTAGCCATCGGGACAAAATGGGAAACATTGAGCAACATCCCAGAAGCAGCCTGCGTGGAAGAACACTGGACTCTGTGAAAGAGATGTAGAAAAAACCTGCATAACAGTATAAGAAGGAAGAAGAAGCGGCAAGACAGGGAACGGATCTCGACAGACACCCGGAAACTGAAAGAGGAGAGAGAGGAGGATAGTAAAGCAGAAGATGAACTAGTGCAGTGCAGTGTAGGGATGAACAACGAAAACAGGAACTGAACATAACCTGTAAAACACTATACTGGGCAAAGAAGTGGAGAAGATTGCACGCAAGACACTAGACACTCCTACGACACATTGGCAAGTGAAGTGGAACAGCCTGTAGGTAGGAGAGACTTGACAACACTGTATCAAATAGCCAGGTTACTTGCTGTCTGGGAGGAGATCAACGCAGATGAAACCACTGAAAGACAGTGAAGGAAATCTAGTTACCGAAAGGAGAAACAAGGAAACGATGGGCTGAGGACTTCAGATAACTCTTGAATCAATCACCATCACCACCTGCAACTCGTCCACAAATACCATCAGCAGCCCAGTCACAGGACTATCAGTGAACACAAGCCCTCCGACAAAAGTGGAGTGAAGTCCTGAACGCTGCATCATAAAGTTGCAGAAATCCAGGAAAGCAGCAGGACCACATGGAATCCCTCCAGAAGCACTGAAAACAGACACACAGACAACGGTGGACACGTTCAAACCACTATTGCACAAGGTTTGTAGGGAAGGAAGGAAGGAGAAGGAAAAATAGGTACCTGCCGAGTCGTTGGGAGAAGGGCTACCTTGTCAAACCCCCAAACAAGGGAGACCTAAGTCCTTACAAGAACTGAAGCAGAATAATGCTCCTCTCCCTGTCCACCCCAAGCACAATTTTAAGCCGCATAATCCTAGAGAGAGTAAGGGACGCGCTGCATTCAAAATAAGATTGAACAGGCTGATGGCTGCCTTCAGGAATAACAAACTATGTCCGAATCGAATTGCAACGCCACGCATCATCATACAACAGAGCATAGAATGGCAGTCAACTCAACTCAACTTCATTCACTTTGAGTAGGCCTTCGACAGCGTCGACCGAGAAGTAATTCGGCAGTAGCTTCGGCACTATAGTTTTCGTGCTACAAACCTCTATCAACGTCATTCAACAGCAGCTATATGCTGTATGCTGCAATATGCCAAGTGATCCACAGTGGAAAGTTCAGTGACGCCTTTGAAGTGAAGACAGGAACAGGAGTCGGACAAGGCCGCCGCCTACTATCACCCATGATCTTCTTGATTGTGGTTGACTGGACTGGATCATGCAACATACTGTGGCAGGTGTGAAAGAATGGGCATACGCTGAGGGGACCGATGAAAAGACCTCAGAAGGAGATTTGGATTCCGCTCATGATGATTTATGCCTGATGTCTTGCCGCACAGACTCGAAGATCTACAAGTAAAACCAACAAGTTGACAGAAGAGGTATGACAGCGAAGTCAGAACTTTCTTCAGGTGAACGTGGAGAAGAGAGTGGTGATGAAGATACCCAACCAGCAACAACAAGGACAACAAGCACCAGTGACCATGAACGGGAGAAACTTAAAAAAAGTAGTCTCTTTCACCCACCTACCCAGGCAGCATCGTTTCTAGTACAGTCGGTGGCACAGGTGAGGACGTCAGGCCAGGGATTGGAAAAACGGCGAGACAGGCCTTCATTGACCTGAAGCCAGTGTGGAGATCTACTGCACTGCACTCGACTCCACTCAGCATAAAGCCTGAAAGACATCCGTATTTTCAACACCAATTCAGTCAAGTCAGCACATCTGTATGGTTCGGAAACTTGGCGCATCACGAAAAACATTTCCAACAAACTGCAAGAACTTGTAGGTGGCATGTGTGTTGCTATTCCATAACGCTTGACCAACCCTACCTAACTTGATGCGCTCTAGTACTTGCTCAACCAGGAGCTAACCTAACGTGCAAGTACCGATAGTGGAATACAAATCAAAAGAACTGGTTCTAGGGATATGTTTGGAGAGGCCGCATATTTAATTAGAAGAAATGTAATAGTAATGAATAGGAGAAAAGTTTGTTCAACTTGTCGGCTAGTATGGACGAACCAGGGACTTCGGGTATGTGCATGCTACCCAGCATAAGGGGAGCGCAGAATGGCGCCGAAGCCTGCTCGGATGCATGTTCATTAAAAAAATTAAAACAGAAGAATCTGAGGCGAGCTAGAGGTTTATTTAGTTAATTTAAATTAATCGATTCGTTTTAGCCCTAGTTGAATTTCGGTGCCAGGAAGGTGCGCTACAGATTCACCAATAGTTGCCGTCTACGCTCACTCAATACTGAAGAGCGAATGGCCGAAACAATAAGAATGGGCAGCAAGGAACTTTGACCTGGCAACGAGGCAACCAGGAACCTAACCCCCAAGAGATATGCAGAAGAAAGTGGAGTTGGACCGGGCATACACTGTGAAGACCATTCGGGGACGTAACTCGCCAGGTCGGGCCTTGGAGTTGAAACCGAAGGGGAAACTGTTAGCTCAGCTTCCCAGGTGAGGGTGACATGGAGTAGATGGTGTGAGGAAGAGATGAAAGCTTGTAGGCAGCCGCGAAATCGGATTGAAAGGACTGCAGAGAAGACAGTGAAATGGCAACGTGTTAGTGAAGCTGTATGTTCCCCTAGGAACCCAAGAGGCAAACAATAGAAAAATAGTGACAATAAGCATTTCGTAACTAATCGTTTCTGCTCTTCAAGGATTACAACCACCATTACACTTGTCGACTTGGAAGAATAACTGACCTTGTCATTATCTATGCATCACCCACATATTATGCTCAAAGATTATTCCTCCTACTATCTTTCTCTCTCTCGCCGTTCATATGTGATTTAATCCTTCCGCCCGTTTCTAAAAAAATTCTTAAATTTTCTGAAGACTATCCACAACCACGGTTCCCTACTTCACACCTTCAAGCTGTTACAGACGTGGTGCACTAGGTTGTCTACTGAAAGTATTTATCTATACTGTGATCACTTTCATTGGGGAAGGGTCCTGTGGAAAAAAGCAAAACACTCCGTACAAGGGCAGATGTGATCTTTTGCCCGGTATTCTTGAAGTAATCGTTACTCGAGGCCCAGCATCTTTCAAAAAAGAGGTCGGTGACTTCTACTCGACAGATCTGGTGGTGAGAACATGTGAGATCCTCCCGTATCTGACGGACAGCAGAGTGGTTGCTACGACACCAGTTCACGAGTAAAACCATGTTATTTTGAAGAGGCAAAACATAAATGGTAACGA